TAACATTTTTTCTGATAAAGCTGAATTGTGTTTCAGTGATTCCATGAGCCACACAGAGGGGAGTCTTTCCAACTCAGAAAGGAGGTCTTGCCAAGGAGTGCAGATCAGCCTCCATAACAGCAAAAGAATGGATGGTCCAGGGCATAATGTCACAATCGCCATGAAACTGTTCTTCTAGAGGGTCAAAAAAATAGAACCACATATACCCTCAGAGAAAAAGAGCCAAACCCCTCAGGAAATCCTAACTTACCCCTCTGCTCTACAAGGGATCTAAACAAGTTCATGAAGAAGGCAGAGGTGTTGGACAGGCTGCCTGGTCTGAGTCATCTTCAAAAGACACTCAAAAGCGGCTGCCATTCACAGAGGGATAAGATTTATGGGCATTAACAAAATAAACAAATTAAAATAATCATTACAAAGTGAATACAGCACAGACCAACACTATTATACGAGCTTTGTCTCCAGGAGGCAAGAAAGTAGATGTTTATGCAAATAAAACAGATGTAAAGATGGTGGGAGGACAGCCAGAGAGTCCATCTCCACTGCAGGTTCACTCAAGGTCCTTGTAGATGAACCTGATGGCCTGCCCAGCCAGATCCCTTCCCCCACATCGGCTCAATGTGGAGGGCCCTGTAGACAAGGGACCCCAGCAACCTGAGCTTGGCATTTTCCAGCAGGAAATACAGACACAGGAGTTTGTTTCCACAGGGCAAAGCAAAAGAAGAAAACGGAGATAATTAGATCTAAGGACTGTGGGTCCGGGGGCTCAACCCCTGGCAGTGGGCCTTGTGGCAAACCACCCACTTCATGCAGGGAAGAACCTGGGCTAAGGTTGGAGAGGGGACCTGACCAAGGACACAGAGGGGAAGCAGAGTCTGAGTCTGGAGGCAGCGCTCTGGCCTCCAAGTCCAAGCTCTCCTCCCATGCTGCCTCCAGTGTGTGTGTGTGTGTGTGTGTGTGTGTGTGTGTGTGTGTGCGCGCGCGCACGCGCGCGCATGTGTGGACATGTGTGTATTCCATCAGCTGGAGCCAGAGGTAAAGTGGACACACCCCTAGAACTGGAGATTCTATTCGTTCCTTCTGGGTCCCACAGTGCTCTCCACAGCATGTCTCATACAAGTCAAAATGACAGGCATAGCCATGCTGCAAATGGGACCAGGCCTGGCCCCAGGAGAAGGCTGAGGGAGTTGTGAGAGGCCCGTTTTCATTTTCTTTTTCTGAGTTGGAATCTCCCTCTGTTGCCCAGGCCGGAGTGCAGTGGCCCGCACTGGCCATCGCAGCCTCAACCGCTGGGCTCAAGGTGATTCTTTTGCTTCAGCGAAAGAATCGTCTCACCTAGGCCTCCCAAAGTGCTGGGATTATATGCGTGAACCACCGTGCCTGGCCAAGAGGGCCATTTTCAAACTCAACAGATAGACCCCATTACCACAGGCAACGGAATCACCTGAGTGTGCCAAGAATTTCCCACACAGTGTCGAATGGAACACCACAACAAAATCTAGTCTGAACCTCATTTTGGTACTAGTACCACTTTGCATTTATATAGCAGGATTATCTTTCTCTAATAAATTAACATCTATTTTATGTGTTTTCAATCTTTTAACAACTTGGCACAGTAATCAGGACAGATGTCCTCACTTTACAAACGAGAAAATGAAAATGGCTTTGCTCTGTGTCCTGGTTCCTTGTGTTAGTCTTTATTTCTAACCTATGCTTTTCCTCACGAGGCCTTTTAATTTTTTTTTTTTAGAGAAAGGGTCTCTGCTGGGTGCAGTGGCTCATACCTGTAATCCCAGCACTTTGGGAGGTGGAGGTGAGAGGACTGTCTGAGCCCAGAGGCTCAAGACCAGTCTGGGCAATTTGGCAAGATCTCGTCTCTACAATAAATCAAGAAAAATTAGCCAGCCGTGATGGTTTGTGCCAACTACTTGGAAGGCTGAGGCAGAAGGATCACCCGAGCCCAGCAGGTCAAGGTTGCCATAACTGTGAGCATGCTACTGCGCTCCAGCCTGGGCAACAGAGTGAGACTCCAACTCAAAAAAGAAAGAAAGGGTCTCATTCTGGCTGGAGCAAAGTGGTATAATCATAGCTCACTGCAATCTTGCACTTCTGGGCTTGAGCCATCCTCCCGCCTCAGCCTCCCCAGAAGCTGGAACTACTATCACGCATTGCTAATTTTTTTTTTTTTTGAGTTGGAGTCTCACTCCGTCGCCCCGACTGGAGTGCAGTGGCATGCTCCCAGCCACCACAGCCTTGACCTGCTGGGCTCTGGCGATCCTTCCGCCTCAGTCTTCCAAGTAGCTGGAACTATAGGTGCGCGCTGCCACGCCTGGCTAATTTTTTGATTTATAGTAGAGATGAGGTCTCACCAAGTTGCCCAGGCAGGTCTCGAATCTGCAAGCTTAGGCAATCCACTCACCTCACCTTCCCAAAGCGCAGGATTGCAGGCTGAGACACTGAGCCTGGCTGCATTGCTAATTTTTAAGAAAAATTAATTAAATTTTGTTTTACTCCATTTTATGCAGAGACAGGGGTCTTGCTACATTGCCCAGGCTGGTTTCGAACTCCTGGACTCAAGAGAGACTCCTGTCTTGGCCTCTCAAAGTGCTGGGATTACATGCATGAGCCACTACATCTAGCACCAGCTAGTTTAAAAAAAATTTCTAAGAAATTGCTATGTTTTCCAGGGTGGTCATGAATAGGCCTTTTTGTATGGCAGATACATCATCCTAGTAGAAAAGCCCTACCTAATGCACTTACTGGTGGAAATGGAGAGAAATGTCCACCCGAGTTTCAGGTGGCAGCATCACCAATGGGATACAACCTGCGAGTCCCCTGTAAGCTGGTCCCTAAGTAGCCCAAATTGCCTTTTCCCCATGGCCTTCAAAAAGGAGATCACTCCTTTCTTCTCAGGATGAGAATACTCCAAACCTTTCTGCTCATCTTCAAAAGCAACCTCTCAGAAATGGAGTAACAGATCTAGCTCAAATTCTCTCCTTAAAATGCTGCATAGCAAACATCTGGTTATCACTTAAGAGTTCTGGTTAGAAAATGTTTTATTTATTTGGAAGCAGTTTATGGAAATAGCAAACTATTGGAAATTTTAAAATAACCTGCATGCCTGTATGAAATGATCACAGCTGTGCTCCCTCATTCCACAGAAACATGGCCTGCAGATACATTTGCACAGAATCCCAATAAGCTACTGCCACACACACCCAGATGGCTGATTTGGTCATAGGACCCAGGCGCAGGACAGCAGTGAGGTTCTATTTCCCTTTCATTGCTTCAAAAGGAGCAAAAGTCCAACCAGAACAGCAAAAACACCAAAAGAAGAGCCTGCTCCTGCCAGGCCCTCCCCACCTCTTTGCCAATACCAACCTTCCAAAACAGACCTCCTTGCAGTGCACCAGCCCTGAGCATTGAGAGATCCCAGCAGGAATCACAAGTACAGCCCAGAGCGCCTCAGAGACTTTCAACTCTCCTAACAATCTCAAATTCTGACTTAGTTCACCTAGTGTTTTGATTCTCTACCTCCATCTGACTAAAAGCTAACTCTGCACAATTGAGGTTATCACCTGCTGAAGGGGAGGGTGGATGGATGGAAGCGGAGGGTTGGCATTTTCAAATATACTTTGAAATGTGGGATTCAAATAGAAAGGTGTGCTCTGAACACATGGTCCCCCTTTTTTTTTTGAGTTAGAGTCTCACTCTGCCACCCAGGCTGGAGAGCAGTGGCATACTCACGGCTACCCTAGCGTTAACCTGCTGGACTCCAGCGATCCTTCCACCTCAGCCTTCCAAGTACAGGCACACTACCATGCTCAGCTAATTTTTGATTTATTGTAGAGATGAGGTCTCGCCAAGTTGCCTGGGCTGGTCTCGAACCCGCAGGCTCAGGCAATACACTTGCCTCAGCCTCCCAAAGTGCTGGGATTGCAGGCTGAGCCACCAAGCCTGGCCTATATGGTCCTTTCAATGCTGGAGGGGGCCTTTAAAAAATCTACTTTTTGGAATGTATTTCCCGGTTTAAAGTCGGCATCTGTCCTTCGTCCTTAGAAGGTTTACAGAAAAAAGACTGATGCATCTTATTACTTTGTATGGCTCCCACTCTCCTTCCAACAATGCTGCTGAGTTGACACAGATCATGGTGGCCTTCCAGAAGGCTGATGGAAGAGTTGGGGACTCTGAGTTCCTTATCATGACAGATACAGGGCATCTGCTGGCATCCTGGCCACACTGATAGGGCCCAGCCACTGAGCCTGCTTGTTAAACACAGATGAACAGCACATGAGGCTACGTTCAGTGAGCCATTTGGAACAACTGCCATCTCAAATTGACCAAGATATCCTATTTGCCACAGGGCTGAGGCATATACACAAAACAATTGCCCCAGCAAATAGAAGATATTGTATGTAGTACTGAAAAGTAACTCTCTGCCTTAGTAGTGCTACTGAGTTAAATGATTAAAACTCCATCAGGGATCTGGGTCACCTTCTGGCTGCTGAAATAACCTGGTTACTGTTGTTCATGGCGCCAATGTCCTGGGGAGATGAAGCAGAGGACCCTGCTTAATGCAGTCTGGAAATGCCCCAAGCCCTCTGCATTCCTTGGCTCTGTGTATCCTACCTGGAAAGCAGGAATTCTGATGCCTCAACACTGAGGTGCTTAGGTGGCTGTCCTTCCCCTGACACTGCTCCCTAACTGATTTTCAGTGTCAAGGATTTTAGGCAGCACAGCTGGAAGAAAAGGTTTTGGAGAATTAGCCTGAATTTCTGCTTGGGAAACCTCCTTGGCTTCCAGGAAAGCCAGAGGATTGGCTTTGTCTTCCCTCCATATGGTTCAAAACACTGGTAGGTACTTTCCAGAAAGATACCATGTTGAGATAATATAAACGAAAATCTGCCCCACCCAGCTTTATATATGATTTCTAACAACCCACCAGCACCTAATTACTTCAGATCTGGCTTCTGTCCTCATTACACCTGGCCCCATCTCACCTTGGGATTGGTTCGCTGCTGCAGTCTCCTCTCTTCCCTCTCTCTCTGCAGGCGCTCATACTCCTCTCGAATTTCAGCTGGAGTTCTCCTCCTTTCCACAACCTATGGGCAGAATCAAGATGAGAAGATAGCTGAGCACCCAGGATAGGAGGGAAGCTACACAAAGGGTGAAATCATTGATTCTGGAGTGCACATGCTACCCAAGGTCAGCTTACAGCCTTTCCTCAGGCCCCAGTGATAGAGCGCTCTGCTGTTCTCCTGGTCATTCCCAAGGTCAAGCTTTCCCTCAGCTCTCCAGAGTGACTTAAACATTCTTTATTTTAGTACCTTATCTCTGAAGCTGCAGAAATCTTACAAAGAAAATGTAACCTTAAATCTCGTAGTTTAAATTTCCTAATGAATCCCAGGAAACAAATATTAACCATTTGCACTCAGATGTCCCCTCGGGGACATAAAAAATCTGACAAACCACTTGGATGTCCCCTCTGAGGAGACATAAAGAGATTGCTAGTGATTATACAGGACAAACTTATGCAAGTGCAAATTTTTCAAAAATGTATATTTTCTTGAACCTTTCCATTCAAATTGCACAAAAAAGCAAATAAAGAGATGGAATATAGGCCATTGCCAGACCATCACTGGCACTGCCTTACTATTACTAGACTCTGTTGTGGCCATGTACTTGAGTCATGGCTGTCACCATGTTTCCTGGCTTTGGCCCCTTCCCTATCTTGGGGAGGTGAATCTCCTCTTTCTTTCTCTTTCTTTAATTTACTTTTAAATAAACTATACTTTTTAATCTAAAAAAAAGAGACGGAATATATACTGAGATATATTTTTAAATATCAGCTAGCATTACATAGAAAGAGAATGCGTGAAGTGCTTTAAGAGTAATGCCAGCTGGGTTCGGTGGGTCAGCCTGTAATCCCAGCACTTTGGGAGGCCAAGGTGGGTGGATTTCCTGAGCCCGTGGGTTCAAGATCAGCCCGGGCAACTTGGCAAGTCAGCTCTACAATAAATAAAAAATCAGTGGGGTGTGGTAGCGTGCGCCTGTAGCTCCGGTTACTTGGAAGGCTGAGGTGGAAGGATCATGGGCGTCTAGCAGGTCAACACTGGGGTGGCTATGAGTGTGCCATGGCACTCTGGCCTGGGTGACAGAGTGAGACTCCAACTCAAAAAAAAAAAAAGAGTGGCGCCAACAAGTTCTCAATGCAGCAGGATTCCACGTTTACTGACAGAAATTACACTAGTATTGTCCTAGCAGAGGAGCTACTAAAGATGAAATGTCATCTTTTTTTTTTTTTTTTTTAGTTGGAATCTCACTCTGTCGCCCATTCCCGGCCACCGCAGCTTCCACCTGCTGGGCTCCGGCGATCCTTCCGCCTCAGCCTTCCAAATAGCTGGAACTACAGGGGCGCGCTACCACGCCTGGCTAATTTTTTATTTATTGTAGAGATGAGGTCTTGCCAAGTTCCTCAGGTGGTTCTCGAACCTGCGGGCTCAGGCAATCCATTCACCTCAGCCTCCCAAAGGCGCGGGATTACAGGCTGAGCCACTGAGCCTGGCTGAAATGTCATCTTATTGGTATAATCAGAATCAACTGAAAGGGAATGTCAGGACAGATCAAAAGCCAAAGTTTTTAATGAAAAACAAAAAAATCCACAGTTTCAAGTAGAAAAAACAATGTTACACTTCTTGTGTGAAAGGATAAAAGGATCATTACAATCATCAGCACTGGGAATCATGCAGGAATAAAATCTACCACAAGGACATTACCTGGTGGAAATATTGCATCAGCCAAAGAGTCTGAAATGATTCTGAATTATGTCGCAAGTACAAGCAGTGTGGATTGGGGGCTCAGTATGCTTCTACATATGGTTTTTTGTGAAAATCTTTAAAATTGTAGAGGAAATTATTCTTCTGCAGACTAGAAATATGGGCTATTAACTGCTATATACCATACCAAGCATCAAAAAAAAAAAAAACTTACGCCCCATTTGGAATCTATCAAGTGTATGACCTATCAGTTGAGAAGTGATTTTTAGGAATCATGAATGCGTCCTTTTACATCGTCTTTGAATACCAGACTGAACAATAAATTACATATCATTAATGTGGGAGGAAGAAAATGAGACTTCATTGTCTGCTCAAATAGAAAAACACCAGGTGGAAGATGCCAAACAAATTACTATTGCATAATATGTATCAATGAGCCTGCAATGTATATTGGTGACTGTTTCACATTACCACACATTACAAAAAATATAAGATACAAAATGTTGATTTTTTTCAGCCAGGCACAGTGGCCCAGCACTTTGGGAGGTGGAGGTAAGAGGATCGCCTGAGCCCACAGGTTCAAGACCAGCCTGGGCAACTTGGCAAGACCTCCTCTCTACAATAAATCAAAAAATTAGCTGGGTGTGATGGTGCTTGCCTATGTTCCAGCTACTTGAAAGGCTGAGGTGGAAGGACTACCTGAGCCCAGCAGATTGAGGCTACAGTGGTGGCTGTGAGGTGTCACTGCATTCCGGCCTAGGGGACAGAGTGAGACTCCAACTCAAACAAAGAAACACATGCTGATAGCAAACAATCAATAGGACAGAAGGCTATGTGGTGAAAAAGATGAAAGTCCCTTAACCCATACTTTCTCTTCTAAAAAGTTAACACTTAATTATTTATGTCTCTTCCTAAAAATCTTCCATGCATGTGTATGTTGGTGTTTATGTGCATATATGTGTATCTACATATATATGTTTCCCCTCCCACCCCCAGACCTACATATATACAGTTAACATAAATGGGATCGATCATATAGGCTTTGTTCAACTTGATTTTCTATATCAACAATATAGAAAAATAAATACAAAAACCAGCCTATCCAAAAAAAAAAACAAAACAAACAAGCCCAACCCCCAACAAAATCCTGAGGAATCTGTTCACTACTTTCCAGGAGGTACACAGAAAAAATAATGAAAATAACATTTTCTCCTCTAATAGCCCAATATAAATCACTAATTACTAAAAAGGGGGAAGTGGTTCTTTTTCAGGAAGTTTTAAAACCAAAAGATTGCTAAAATCATCCAAGAACAAACTGGCAATACGGTGACTACTTTGTGGCCTCGCAAGAACACAACAGGTTCTATTTAGCAAACGAGGCAAGTTTATGCTGCCCAGGTTTAAAATCATCTAGGGCAGGTGCCCCTATCCGTGGCACTATCACTTCCTAATGTCACCCATCTCGGCCTGGACAAAAGCAAGATACAGTTTTTCCAAGTTGCCATTATTTTCTCGATCTCCTGCCAGCTGCTTCTTTCAGCAAAAGAAAATAAAAATGAAAGAACTTCAAGGAACTGTAGGTAATCAACTATTTCATTTAACTTTGAAGATCCAGAAAAAATGACTGAAAATACTTTAAAAATTTGTTCATGACCTTAAAGCCCAATTCAGTGGACCTGTGACTGTGGAACCACAACTTGTCTGGCCCCTGCCTACAGTGACCTCAGCGACCACCACCAAGGACAAAAAGGTCTGGTTGTGAGTCTGAGTCTGGACAGGAAGGGCTTATTTCATGTAGTCCAGGGCAAGCAGGCTGTTCTTACTCGGATGACGAGAGTTCATAATGGAGCATTCTATCCAAAAGGGGCTTGTTTTAAAAATGGAGAATAAATCAAAGTTTGAATAGCCATAACTTTAACCATGACTATACCCATATACTATTTTTTTTTTTTTTTGAGAAAGCAGGATTTATTGAGAGGACAGGAAAGTTCCCACAGTGGGAAGGGATCGGAAGGGGTTGTCCATAAAATTATTATTATTTTTTTATACTATTTTTTTTCCAGAAACAGATTTCTAAGATTCTGGGAATTAAAATCCTAGACTCACATCCTACAGGAAATAAATTTTTTAAAAGTGTCAGGCTCCAGCTGGCTCGGTGGCTCAGCCTGTAATCCCACGCCTTTGGGAGGCTGAGGTGAGTGGATTGCCTAAGCCCGTGGGTTCGAGACTTGCCTCGAGACCTCATCTCTACAATAAATCAAAAAATCAGCCAGGCGTGGTAGCGCATGCCTGTGATTCCGGCTACTTGGAAGGCTGAGCGGAAGAT